CATCATCTAACTGAATTAAATAATGTAATATCCGTAATCTGAGTACAATTTTGCCAACTTGCCATTTATAATGAAAATAATCTCTCAATGAAACCCTAGTTCCTATATCAAAGTTTCTTAGACTTTTGTCAGTATAGGTAACTCTATCACTACACGAAGGTTTAAGTAAATTGAATCTATTACTTATTTGTCTTCCTAACATAAGTTCTGAGGGACTTTTGCCTGTAACTGTATGTGGACTTCAACGGTACTGCAAAAGAAACTTACATAATTCGAACTACCTGTCAATTGCCTCACTTCTTATAGTCCCTAAACAATTTTTTAGTGTAGACATATCTCTCCCCCTGTCCATTAGTTGCTCGATGGTAGGGCGCAGTAATTTTTTGTGTAATTCCATTATCTTTCATGAAACTTCTAAATTCATGAGAGTCGAATTATCTACCATTGTCAGTAACAAAAACTTTAGCAATACCAAAAGTTGAAAAAATCTTTCGTCAAATTTCAATAGTAGTTTTTGTAGCAGTATTTTTTGTAAAATGAATTTCAGGCCATTTGCTGAAGGAATCTACTAATATAAAATAATAATTTCCATTGAAAAGTCCAGCGTAATCAGCATGCACTCTTTCCAATGAAAATTTTGGTGGCTCCCATAAATGAGAGTTATCTTTAGTTGGGTTGTTCTTGTGATTGCATTTTAAGCAATTTTTTCAAAGTTGCTCAATATTTTGGTTCACGTGAGGCCACCAGCAATAACTACGAGCTAAAGATTTTATTCTGACTATGAAAAAATGTGCAGTATATTTCTGTCACAATTTTATTCTCAATTCAGTACAATTTGGATTGAAAACTTGTATAATATTTGTTTTAAAAAAATTACAAAGTTTTGTTACATGGGTAAATTATCATAAAATGACTGATAGTCTTTTGCAATACTCGATTTCAGTTCTTGTAAATTTTGATATTTAGCCGCAGTAATTTTCAGTCTGTCTTTGTAGAGTGGTTGAAAGTTAGCTTTAAGGAGTTCTCGAACTTTTTTCTGGTACCTGGTCAAAGATTTATTTGGATCTTGGGCTTTTCTTTTGGATTTTTTGGATCCATCATCAACCTTTGTTATAATCACACGATGGTAGTAGTTTGAAGTCATCGTTGAAGGACAGTTTGTAGCGTATTTTTCCATTAGTATCATATTTCAAGCATCTGATGTATGTGACTTTGGAGTCCCCTTTTCTAGTACCAGGACGAATTGATTTGAACACCAATGATCTCGTAAAGTATTTGAAAAAAAGATGATCCAAATACGTCACTTTGTATGGACGACTTTTGCCTTGCATTTTTGCATGCGTCAATGTAGTCTGTTGGCACATTAATTTCTCTATACTTATTTTGTGTTTAACGGCCACATGACTCATAACTGCACTTCGATTTTGATAATTACATACATCACTAAATATTACAATCTTCGTTGCTTTATTCCCCTTGGGAAGTTGCGATTCAACAAAATGTGTTAAAACGCTGGCAAATTCATTTGCTTAAAGTTCCCCTTCCGTCTCGTTCACAAAGTAGCAAAACCCTTCGTTTGTCCTCAGGTCAAACATAGTGAGGTTGTGTACCGAAAGTTTACGCCTGTAGCTAATGCTATTCATGACCAGAGGTAGCATCCGATGAAGCAGTTGAGTAGGTTTCTTCAACCTGTGGATATTTTCATCTGGGCTGATACCATATTTGTCGAGAAGCCGGGATTTTAATTGTTCATAGACATTGCTGTTAGTTGGGTTTCTCACTATGTCTGCTACTTCTAATAATATATCATTGTTTAAGCTAGCTACTATGTGATCAAACTTACAGTTTTTTAAGGTGATATTTGCTTGTCGAAATTGAGCTTCTAGTCGGAGAAACCATAGCTCTGGCTCGACACGGCACAATTCTGGTGCTTCCGGAAGCAAATTCCAGAAGGAATTTGCTTCTCGCACAACAGGTCACATTGGTGACCTCGACAACTGTTTAAATGTAAAGTGCCATATCGAGGTATCTGTACAAGTTTTTAGTGCATCTAATCCAAATATTAAATGGCCAACGACGACATAATGACTGATTCAGCACAAAGTCACACCATTATGAATAGTGAATACGATAAACAGACTGTAATTGCAAGAGTAGGCATCAAAGCACCAGAATTCTGGCGTACCGAGCCAGAGCTATGGTGTCTCCGACTAGAAGCTTAATTTCGACAAGCAAAGATCACCTTGGAAAACTGTAAGTTTGACCACATAGTAGCTATCTTAAACAATGATACATTATTAGAAGTAGCAGACATAATGAGAAACAAAACTAACGGAATGTCTATGAACAATTAAACGCCCGGCTTCTCGACAAATATGGTATCAGCCCAGATGAAAATATCCACAGGTTGATGGAACTTACTCTGGGTGACTTAAAACTTACTCAACTGTTTCATCGGATGCTACCTCTGGTCAGGAAAAGATAATTAGGTACAGTTGTAACTTTAATATTAATAATAGGTTATTTTTAGGCAGAAGCTCAAGATCTTCTTCAGTGTCTTCTTCTTCAACTCCTGCTACCTATTCAAAACAAGCACTAAAAATAGGCACCTGGAATGTGAATGGAATTAAGGAAAAGTGGTGCAGATATGTAAAAAAATGGACAAAAGGGAACCAAAAATTTTGAGTCTCAGTGAAACCAAGAAAAAACACCAAGGGAAGGTCGACTTAAAAATAAATACGTATATTTTTTAGGTGTGAAAACCACGTGAGTAGGAGTACGAAGGAGGTAGTAGTCGTAATCGCCAAAGAACTTAAGCAAAAAGTCACCCATTTTACCGGATAATTACGGTAACAATACACAGAACTCCCAAACAAACCACCTTCATTCAAACATATGCACCAGTACCAATGTCACCGAAAGAAGAAAACGAAGAATTTTACAGATCCCTAGAGATGACACTGAAGGACGTGAGAAAAGTTACCAATAATATTATCATCTTAGGAGATTTTAATACTAGAGTGGGTAGGGATGCGAATAAAGGTGAAGGGTGTATGGGAGTGTATGAAGAAGAAGGGGAAAACCGGAACGGGACCAAAATGATGAGAAATGCAAAGAGCCTGGTCTCTATAAAGCCTCTATAGTCCATACTGAAGAACTGAGGGACCATTTAAAATTTGATGACAGATTCAAAATGAAACATCGGGTCCGATGTAAAAAATGGACAAATGATGGGCAACAGCAGAAGAAGAAGAAGAAGCTTTTCGGAGCTAATAGATCCGTGAGGAAATCTTCTGGTCCAAATCTTCTGAATAAGTATTAAGAAATAACGAAAAATTTATTAAATAAGTCACTAGCGGCAATGCAATGGATATTGGATGAAACGTTAGGCAGAAGTCGGCTTATGGAAGAAAACGAAGGTATTAATTGTTAATTTTTAGTAAATGTATTAACCAAAAATTGTTTTTTGACAAATTTTTATTTTGTAGTGACTTTCGTGTTTGAAAAACGCAATTGTAATTAATCACCTCATTAATATTGTAATAACATTTAATAATGTAAAAATTTTTAATTTGGAAAAGTATGCAAACGTCATCTTTTTATGAATCCTTGAGTGAACGCCGTCCTTCAGTTTCATACCAACTTACATTTTTTGTTAGGGAGTTTTTCAACATAACACCTCCTCCCTTGACCGTGATATACAAAAGATAACTAAAAGTAAAGTACTTACAAATTCAATCTACAATATTGGAACTTTCCATGTCATTTAAAATTTCTGATTCGTCGGTAGTCCCTTCGATAGGTGCTAGTGAGACACTGCTCTGGGATGGATGCCTCCCTTGCAACCAAATTGTGAGTAATGGTATCTGGAATGTAAAATGTCGTGAATATTTTGAAATGGTGTATATTCCCCAATTAGCCGTATTTGGTGTACATGACTTTTCATATTCTACCATCATCTAACTGAATTAAATAATGTAATATCCGTAATCTGAGTACAATTTTGCCAAATTGCCATTTATAATGAAAATAATCTCTCAATGAAACCCTAGTTCCTATATCAAAGTTTCTTAGACTTTTGTCAGTATAGGTAACTCTATCACTACACGAAGGTTTAAGTAAATTGAATCTATTACTTATTTGTCTTCCTAACATAAGTTCTGAGGGACTTTTGCCTGTAACTGTATGTGGACTTCATCGGTACTGCAAAAGAAACTTACATAATTCGAACTACCTGTCAATTGTCTCACTTCTTATAGTCCCTAAACAATTTTTTAGTGTAGACGTATCTCTCCCCCTGTCCAGTAGTTGCTCGATGGTAGGGCGCAGTAATTTTTTGTGTAATTCCATTATCTTTCATGAAACTTCTAAATTCATGAGAGTCGAATTATCTACCATTGTCAGTAACAAAAACTTTAGCAATACCAAAAGTTGTAAAAATCTTTCGGCAAATTTCAATAGTAGTTTTTGTAGCAGTATTTTTTGTAAAATGAATTTCAGGCCATTTGCTGAAGGAATCTACTAATATAAAATAATAATTTCCATTGAAAAGTCCAGCGTAATCAGCATGCACTCTTTCCAATGAAAATTTTGGTGGCTCCCATAAATGAGAGTTATCTTTAGTTGGGTTGTTCTTGTGATTGCATTTTAAGCAATTTTTTCAAAGTGGCTCAATATTCTGGTTCACGTGAGGCCACCAGCAATAACTACGAGCTAAAGATTTTATTCTGACTATGCAAAAATGTGCAGTATATTTCTGTCACAATTTTATTCTCAATTCAGTACAATTTGGATTGAAAACTTGTATAATATTTGTTTTAAAAAAATTACAAAGTTTTGTTACATGGGTAAATTATCATAAAATGACTGATAGTCTTTTGCAATACTCGATTTCAGTTCTTGTAAATTTTGATATTCAGCCGCAGTAATTTTCAGTCTGTCTTTGTAGAGTGGTTGAAAGTTAGCTTTAAGGAGTTCTCGAACTTTTTTCTGGTACCTGGTCAAAGATTTATTTGGATCTTGGGCTTTTCTTTTGGATTTTTTGGATCCATCATCAACCTGTTATAATCACACGATGGTAGTAGTTTGAAGTCATCGTTGAAGGACAGTTTGTAGCGTATTTTTCCATTAGTATCATATTTCAAGCATCTGATGTATGTGACTTTGGAGTCCCCTTTTCTAGTACCAGGACGAATTGATTTGAACACCAATGATTTCGTAAAGTATTTGAAAAAAAGATGATCCAAATACGTCACCTTGTATGGACGACTTTTGCCTTGCATTTTTGCATGCGTCAATGTAGTCTGTTGGCACATTAATTTCTCTATACTTATTTTGTGTTTAACGGCCACATGACTCATAACTACACTTCGATTTTGATAATTACATACATCACTAAATATTACAATCTTCGTTGCTTTATTCCCCTTGGGAAGTTGCGATTCAACAAAATGTGTTAAAACGCTGGCAAATTCATTTGCTTCAAGTTCCCCTTCCGTCTCGTTCACAAAGTAGCAAAACCCTTCGTTTGTCCTCAGGTCAAACATAGTGAGGTTGTGTACCGAAAGTTTACGCCTGTAGCTAATGCTATTCATGACCAGAGGTAGCATCCGATGAAGCAGTTGAGTAGGTTTCTTCAACCTGTGGATATTTTCATCTGGGCTGATACCATATTTGTCGAGAAGCCGGGATTTTAATTGTTCATAGACATTGCTGTTAGTTGGGTTTCTCACTATGTCTGCTACTTCTAATAATATATCATTGTTTAAGCTAGCTACTATGTGATCAAATTTACAGTTTTCTAAGGTGATATTTGCATGTCGAAATTGAGTTTCTAGTCGGAGAAACCATAGCTCTGGCTCGACACGGCACAATTCTGGTGCTTCCGGAAGCAAATTCCAGAAGGAATTTGCTTCTCGCACAACAGGTCACATTGGTGACCTCGACAACTGTTTAAATGTAAAGTGCCATATCAAGGTATCTGTACAAGTTTTTAGTGCATCTAATCAAAATATTAAATGGCCAACGACGACATAATGACTGATTCAGCACAAAGTCACACCATTATGAATAGTGAATACGATAAACAGACTGTAATTGCAAGAGTAGGCATCAAAGCACCAGAATTCTTGCGTACCGAGCCAGAGCTGTGGTGTCTCCGACTAGAAGCTTAATTTCGACAAGCAAAGATCACCTTGGAAAACTGTAAGTTTGACCACATAGTAGGTATCTTTGTTTGTACTTGTGGTTGCTGGTAATCTTGTTTCAGATTATTTTATCTGAGAAGAAATGGACTCGATTGTTTCACTAAACTTTATTGCTCTTAACACTTGAAGTGGTAAAAATTGACTGAGTGCCCGGTAAGGGCAATTGTCATACACCTTGACTTTTGGCGTCTTTGCCATTACAATGTTGTCAGGTGCATAACAAAATGAAAGGTAAAAATTACGAACATAACTCCCCCCTTTGAAGGGACTTCAAAATAACATACAAATATAATATACTAAAATACAACTAATAAATGTAATAAAAAATTAAAATGGAATTGTCTGTAATGGAGTTATTAATTCTAATATTAGATTAACACTAAATAAAGTTTTTACTTCACTGTGTCCTCTTTTATAGGCAAAGGACATAAATGTCTCACGGAACGGATCACATCTTTTGAAAATGTTTTCACTTCTGCCACTCGCGAAACTCCATCCTTTCCAGGGAACAAACGTAGAATTCTTCCCATTGGCCACTTGCCTGGAGGTTGTTGATCATTATTGATTAATACTAGTGTACCAACAGCAATAGGAGTAGCCTGGTTTTTCCATTTATATTGAAAACGCAGTTGAGAAATGTACTCTTTTGTGAATCTTATCCAAAATTGTTGGTATAATTGTTGGACTGATTGTAGTCTAGACAGCCTGGTTGGCGGAACTTCTGATACGTCAGGTTCAGGAAGCGTTGTAATTGGACGACCAATTAAAAAATGTGATGGGGTAATGGGTTCTAGGTCATTAGGATTATTTGATAAGGAATACAGAGGTCTCGAATTTAAGATTCCCTCAATTTGAATAAGAAGCGTATTAAAAGTTTCATAAATTAAACTTCTATTTAACATTGTTCGCCTTAAAAAATGTTTTGTGCTTTTTACTGCTGCTTCCCATAGACCACCAAAGTTGGGCGAATATGGGGGTATAAAATGCCCATGAATATTGTCATTTGACGCATATTGAGTAATATTATTTTCATTTTTTAACAGGAATATTCCAAATTCTTTTAATTCATTTCTGGCTCCAACAAATGTGCTACCATTATCTGAATAGACATCTGAAGGTATTCCTCTTCGAGAAGTAAATCGTTTGAGACAAGATAAGAAACATTCTGTTGTTAAATTTGATACTAATTCTAAGTGAATTGCTTTTGTGCTAAAACAAACAAAAACACAAATGTAACACTTTAAAATTTTGCATCCCCGTCCTGCCTTATCCTTTAAAGGAAATGGTCCGGCATAATCAATGCCTGTAAATTGAAAGGGCAAGGAGGGTTTAATTCTATTATCTGGTAAACTAGACATTGGATATGTAGCAAAAGATGGATTAAATTTAAAACATGTAATACAATTTTTTCTTGTTTGTCTAGCTAAATTACGTCCACCTATAGGCCAATAAAATTGTCGTATGGATGCTAAGAGAAGTTGAGGGCCAGGATGTAATAAAGCAGCCTGTTTATGTTTAAAAATTAATTTCGTAAAATTGTGCTTTGAGGATAATAAATATGGATGATGTTTATATATTTCTAAAGAAGTAAATTTAAGCCTACCGCCCACACGAAGTAAACCTTGTTCATCAAGAAATGGTGATAGAAAACTCAGTTTGTGCTTTGGGGGTAAAGATTTATTTTGTTCTATAATTTTTAGTTCCTCTGCAAAGGATTCGAATTGTGCTAATTTTATTAATTTCACATTAGCGTAATTTAATTCTTCAACTGATAGAGATCCATATTTTCTCTCAGATTTAGCTTTCCTTAAATTGAAAATAAATCTTAATATATAAGAAGTAATTCTTTGTAACTTTGTTAAATCTAAATAAGTTGTGAATAGAGTGAATTGGTTAATAATTTTTGAAGTCAGTACCTTATTAACTTTCTTTAACTCTGGCAATTATATAACTTGATCAGAATTTGAATTGACCAAGTGATCAATAGATTGATATAAAAAATCTGGTCCCATCCACCATAAGTTCATATTAATGAGAAGTTCTGGCACTATTCCTCGAGAAGCCAAATCAGCTGGATTGTCTTTAGTGTTAACATAAGACCATATAAAATTACTTGTACTGAATCTTTGCTACACGATTTGAAACAAAGGTTTGTAACTGGTTTGGTTGTTTTTTGATCCAACATAAAACTATTTGAGAGTCAGACCACATATACACAGGTACAGTGGATGAGATTGCATTAATAGTTTGGTTTGTTAATTGAGCTCCAAGAAGAGCTGCACAAAGCTCCAGTCTTGGTATTGTTACTGACTTTAGGGGTGAAACTTTAGTTTTGGAACAAAGTAGTCTTACTGTATATGCTCCATCTGAATTGATGCTACGCATATAAAGACAACTAGCATATGCTTGTAATGAAGCATCACAAAAACAATGAATATCTACTAACTTGTGAATTGTACCTATTACAATTCTTGGAATTTTAAGTGTATTTAATTGTGACAATTGATTGTAAAATTGAAACCATTTGATATGTACATTTTCAGGAACTGGGTCATCCCACGGTAGTTTAATTGACCATAAATATTGAATAAGAATTTTTGAAATGATTATTACAGGACTAAGAAGACCCAATGGATCATATATTTGGGCAATAATAGAAAGTATTTGTCGTTTAGTAACACTTTTATCTAATGGAATGGTGGTGATCTTATATCTTAAAATATCTTGTTTGCTGTCCCATTGAATACCTAAGGTTTTGAAACTTTCGGATTCTCCAATATCTAAAACATTATTAGGAATATCAGATAATTCAACTTTCTCTAAAACAGCAGAATTGTTTGAAACCCACTTTCTAAGTAAAAAATTGGCAGATTTTAAAATAGATGAAATGTCATTACAACGTGTTTGTAACTCTTCAATATTATTAGATCCCGTCAAAAGGTCATCTACATAAAAATCACTGTGAATAGTTTTAGATGCAATTGGAAATATATTTTTATACTCTGTAGCTACTTGATTTAGACATTTTATTGCTAGATAGGGTGCAGATTTTGTCCAATATGTAACAGTATTAAGTTGATAAGAGGATAAATCGTCCTCAGGTTTGTTTCTCCAGATTATGCACTGCAATGGTCTGTGATCACTGTGCATTAGAATTTGTCTGTACATTTTAGATACATCCGCAGAAACAACATATTTGTATAATCTGAATCTAAGTGTAATATCAAAAATATTATTTAAGACCTTTGGTCCCATATATTGTAGATCATTTAGAGACCACCCAGAACTCGTGGCACACGAACCATCAAAAACAACTCTTATTTTTGATGTTATACTTGTTTCCTTTAAAACAGCATGATGTGGTAAATAATAGTGTGAACTTGTCAAATTATCTACTGAAATTTTAGTCATATGACCTAATTGTGTGTATTCTTGAATAAATTGTTTATATAAATTATGAAATACAGTATTTGCGTTGAAACGTTTTTCTAAAGACAAGAAACGTTGGAGTGCTTTCTCCTTTGAGTCACCTAGTAGTGTAGGAGATGATTTTAATGGAAATTTTACTATAAATTGTCCATTTTCATGGCGAGAAGTATCTTTGTCAAATAACTCTTCACAATGTCGTTCATCGGTTGATATTTCAACAGAATTATCTAACTCATTAAGTTCCCAAAATTTTTTTAATTGATGATCTTCTGGTATAACATCTTTTGAAAAATTGCAAATAGAATAATTAACTGAATTATTTATAGCACCAGAAACAATCCACCCTAGCTTGGTATTTTGGAAAATTGGCTTATTTTTTCCTATAGTAATTTTTCCATCCAATATTAAATCCCAAAATAGTGTAACTCCTATGAGCATATCAATCTCATTAGGTGAGTAAAATTGTGGATCTGAGAGTTTAATATTGTCTGGAATTTTAATCTTTGTTACATTAACCTTTTCTGAAGGAATAGCTGATGAAATCATAGGGGTTACATAGCAACACACATTACATTGAAAACTACTAACATTGGAAAATATGGTTAATGAAGTCTTTTTTGTCAATGTTGACATTACTTGATTTATGCCAATAATTGATAGATTTGCAGAAGATAATGACACACCTATTTTCTTACAGAATGCTTCTGTCACTAGATTTGATTGTGCTCCAGAGTCCAATAGGGCTCTACCTACTTGAAAATTGCCACTACTGTCTCTAACCTTGAATGTTACTGTTGATAATAGAATTGATGCATTTATTATACCTTCTTCGGTATTTATAGAACCTGGATTTGTTTGAAATAGCACAGTAGACTGCTGACTTGTTTGATTACTCATATTATTATAACTACTACTTGTACTTGGTTGACTACTTGAATTATTAAATATTAAAGATTCATTTGAATTGTTATTTTGTTGATTTGTACAATCATTATGAAGAAATGTATTATGTTTTCGTCCACACTTTTTACAGGACCCTAAATTACAAGTATTTTGAAAATGTCCAATGCGTAAACAGTTAGAACAAAGTTTTAACAGTTTTACTTTTTCC